ATTTCTTGGTGCATGTCTGACTAAAACTTAGTTTTAAGTCCTCTGAATTACACCACACTTTTGACAATACTTGCGGTATAAAGAATGGAGGGAAAAGTACAAGGTATGTTTTCTGAACTTCTGAAGCATACTTCTCATGCTCATTTTTAAATCAAGCCAGAGTTGTTTTTAAATTCTTGACTGTAAAATGGCCAAGGAAAGTGGAAGATGAAATCCTTCTGACACAACATACCCAGGTAGTATCAAAGTAATAATCTTCCTAATAGTGCTCAGAGGAGGCATCAGCATATTCAACCTTTTGTGGATGTTTTGCCATATTGCACTGCATGCTTTTTTTCCTGCATTTATAAAGATCACACAAACTGCCTGCGTTGGTGGTTTCCCTCTTCTGTGGAACACTAAATTGGTATGCTCAGACATAAAATTAAAGTCCTGAACCCCCTCAAAGTTAAGTAGCTGAGGTATCAGACAATCTGTTGAATGATTAAAGATCCCAAACAGCACAGCTTTTTAATTTGTAAAATATGAAGTATTTTGACGCACCTTGCGCACGTCACTCTAATATCTCTTGAATGTTAAGCAGTGATTATTATCTACCATTTTACTTCTTTCTTCCAATTTGTGTTGATCTTCTGACTAGCACCTTTCTCTCAGCATATCATTGTGAACAGATGGCCAACATCTGTCAGAAGCAGCATCTATTTTGTGTGTGTGTGTCTGTGTGTGTGTACATCCGTCCCTACCCCCCCACTCGCACCAGCAGGATAGTCTTAAAGCTGCCTGGTGCCACTGTATTTCTGTGTGTTTCTTGTATCAGCCACCCCCTCTTCCACCTGGTCATCAGTATCAGGAAGTTGCTTCCTTGGCTTTTCTTTCAAAGCCAAGCGGATTTCCTGAGGGCTCTGGAAAAAAACAGGGTCATGCTGAGATCAGAGGCCACTGTTTGGCCTGTGAATGTGTACAACCAAAAACAGAAGCTGTATTTGCCAATAAATGTGCACAAAAATTATTACTGAACCACATATACAAGTTGGTACTCTACATGTCCATATGAGGAAATGCCCCTGAGAAAGACAATTTTTTTTTTAAAGCTCCTGTCATCCTCAAGTAAATGGGTGGGCATAAGTCCAACCCATAGATTACTGCTTTATTAGTGTCTACAAATCACAGCTTTTAAAGTGTGCTGAATGTGCCTTCCAGTCACTCCACCCGTTTTAAGATTCAGGTCACAAACAGCAGGCCCATCATCTACTCCTGTTGGCCCATTTACCAGAGGCAGAGAGGGAAAAGAACTGACTAGACCATTTTCTGCTGCTTACCTCATGCCAGTGTGGCTTTGTGCTCACCCGCTGCCACGTGCAAATCCAAATTACAGCCTGCAGGCAGATGTGAAGGGGAGGTGCCAAGCAGCATTTATAGTCCAAGGCCCTATTCCTGCCTAACCCTCATCTTCATGTGCACACAAATGCATGCACACAGTGCTACACAGAGTGATATGGGAGGCCTTTGGGATTTTGGGTAACTTACTCACTGCTTCTTTAGTCTTTGATGGGGACCCTGGTGCTTCATCATTTTGACTGCCATTTATAGCCTGTTGCTACTCAGGCTGCCTTCAGGGTCCTAATGAAAAGGTAATTCTAGGAAATAAATTATTTTGCAGCTCTGTTTGCACAACCTTTTGGGATTGTAGGCATGGACACATCTAAGCAAAGTTATTTTTTCTGTTAAGTTATATAAGTTTTATAATTTCAAATTAGATATTTACATTGTGTTTGGGTGTGGCTTGTTTCTCCTGACCCCTATTCATATTGTAATCATTGATGGCTTTTTATAAGTCCTCTATGGTGTGTGTGTGTATGTGTATGTGTGTGCGTGTGTGTGCATGCTCTAAAAAGGGACCTCCTCCCCTCTTTTGACACCACTGGGCCTCATGGGGTAGCCCACCCCCTCCTCCAAACTCCTGCTGGCTCACATGATTTGTTTGGGGATGAGATAATTGTATGATGGCTTGCCCATTGCCAGGATCAGGTCAGGACTGTGCAGGGTTTTCACAAAGAAAACATCTGCTATACTTTTTTAAAGCAGTGACGTAATGTCCGATGGCAAGTCTAGACCACACAAACTGATGTTCTGGCATAGTGGTGGACATGGGACAAGGGGTGGGTTAAGATGAATTGTATGGGCGTGGATTAAATGAGAGGGTTTAGGTTGAGTGGACAGAAAATGGAACGGAGTTGTACAACTGTTCATAAATGCAGTCCTACTCTATAAATATATCAAGAGAAACAAATGGAATAATAATTAGACTGTTTTCAAGCATTTATTTTTTTTATTTTCAATTAGCAGTTTTTATTTTCAATTAGCAGTTAACCAACTTATTAAACAATTTATATTTTTAACAATGATCTAGGCTCAATGAAAACTGACTGCATAAAGGTTATTTTTCTAAAGCTACTTTCAAACTGACTGAGCCATATCTGAACATGTACTGTAAATTTTGGAATATCTCTTTTGCTAGAAGTTTTGGGTTTCTCCCTAAAATACTTTTTTCTTCTCTTAAAGGTAAGAGCTTTTGTAGTCAGATTTCAATTTATTGGTCAATCTGTACATTAATGTACAGAAGCATGCAGGGTAGGGCAGTTCTGTGTTGTTTAGTTCTTGATGTAATTGAAGAAATTGAGTTTTTGTTAAGCTGTGAGAGGTAAGAGACTGTTTGGCACTGTCTCGATTATCTGCAAAATAGACAGGATACTGCAATGTTATGAAATGGGAGGCACCCACAAGTGTAGAGGCATATTCGAAGTGAAATGGCTGAACAATAGGTGGTTGAATCCTTAGACACTTCACCCAAAATAGCATTCCATTAGTGGTCAGAATAAGTGCTGTCCAAATAGTGCTGGTAGTTTTTCAGAAGGTTGGTCTCAATTTTGACTCTTATCATCCATGTGATGTGATATGATCCATTTCCATTGTGTTATGTCTGGATGAGCTAAGCAGTCCATAGTTGCTTTCCTACCCACCATAGTGTTCTTACTTTTGACCCTACAAAAGGTGAAAAAAGGTAGATTTTACCCAGGTTGGAATTGGCCAAAGGCTTTCATAAATGTTTGTTTTCAGGATCTTAAAACAGATTGTTGTAGTATTCAGGTAATAACTTTCTATGACTAAATATTTGCTTGATAGAGATGTTGAGATCAGAGAGGTTTCAAGTGCTTGGGACCTGGAGGCAAGCACAAAAACAAAATTGGACACAAGGGGAAACTTTTTTTGAAGCATTCCTTCCAAATTACCTTAAACTTTACTTGCCCCTTAAATTGCTGAGAAAATGTGAATGTTTGTCTTGATATTATGAACAATTGTGGAGTCCCCGGCAGTAAATTATATTAACTCCTATTGTATTTAAGCCAAAACAGCCGTTTTAATCCCATGGCTAAGGTTATTACAATAAAAACAATAGTTTTTGGGTAGAATATTTTTTTTTCTTTGCCTCATGGTAATGTATTGAGATTCAGTCTGTGAGCAGCAGACTGCCAGAACTGCCCTCAGTTGCAGATTCAGACTAAACCAGAAATGAGTTTGCCTTCATGCCAAGAATATAAATGTAACCTTTGGTGGTTTGCAGACGGACAGCCTAACAAAAGTGCCAGCTGGTGCTTCATACTCATGTAAATTTTCATCCATTCAAAGTATTGAAGAACAAATACCCTCTGGAGTAAATTGTAGAGCTTAAGTAAGCTTTCTTCAGACTTCTGACAAAACATCAGCACAGGACAATCGAGGTCTCTTGATGACTCAAGTTTACTTTTATTTTCCATGATGACATGAGCCTTCTAGCTTTAAGTGTGCAGCTGTGTAGTTTCATAGTCGAGAAATAAATGTGGAATCCCTCTCAGTTGGAAAATGGTAGCGAATACTACCTCTGTATTGCATCTGCTGGTTGGGGTTCGGTCTCTCCTTCAAGCAGGTGGCTTTGTGTCTTTATTCATAAATGATTGAAAAATTGTCTGTGAGATGAATTGATGGACTATTGTCTTTATCGTTTGTGATAAGGGGGCTTTGAAAGGTGATACCTTCTATTAACTGAGCCATGTATGCCCTGACTCTCACAGATATTGATCAGGCGTTTAGATTTGCCAATTGCTGGGCCAATAGCGTAAAATTACTAAAATTATTATATATTTTCGTAAGAAAGTTTGGTAAGGAAAGACATGTTCAAAATCATCTGGTTGATCTTAATGAACAGACCTAAGCATCTAACAGAGGTAGATGCTTAGAGTAAGCCCATTATCCTAAGGTTTACAGATAGAAAAAAACAGATCATTATGATGTGGTTTTCATATGAATCACACCCTCCTATTTATTCTTCATAAGGTATTGTCATAAAGGGAACAATTGAAGTACTGTTCTTGTATTCAGAGTGGTTGTTATTGCTTTAATGAGGCCTCATTCCCATTGTACAAGTGTCCCGGAATGTCTGACAGTGAGTTTTTTTAATTAAATTCACTCCCCTTGCATCACTTACTTATCTATCAAGGTTTGTTTATGCTTCTATTTAGTAATTGCATTATGTAAATTACAAATGTGCTTGGGTATGAACAAAGGAGAAAAAGGTCTGAATAATGATTGAATAAGACCGTAGCCAAACATTTTGCCCATAAATCTTTGTTTAAATATTAGGGTTGTTTTCCTTCGATAGTCATGTTTCAGAACAGCAGTAGGAAATGGACAACTGTGCTTCCAAATGTGATCCAGGCACTGTCGCTAAATAAAGCTGCAAGCCACTCCAGGGTAGCGGATGCCCCAAGATGCAACCTAATTTCCGATGAAGCCACATGCTTTTGATTATAGGAGACGCCATGTGGCCTGGTGCAAAAGCCTACTCTGTACTTATTTTTACACTGCTTCTTGAAACTTTCCGTCAAACTGGCAAATGTACTGTGAAGCTGCAAATTTTCAATATAGAGATGGACTGATCTCTCTCTCTCTCATTTATCTTCCAGATATGCTTTGGCAGATGAGGCCTACCGTTCACTGAGGGACCAGGACAAAGACCAGTGTATCCTTATCACAGGGGAAAGTGGAGCTGGGAAAACAGGTGAGGACTGTCGGGTATCATTTAGATGTACACAATGAGTCAAACACCAGAATGGTCTTGGTTGACAATTTATAATTGTATATACTGCACTTAAAATATTATACTTGTGAGGGTGAGTTTTTTTATTTTTTCAGAAAGTGGTGTACAAAACTTGTTATATTAGCAACTTTGAAATTGTATTAAGGTAGAGTCCATTCAAGAGTATGATTTACACAGTGTGGACTGTTGAATTGAGCTTCAAAAGGTACCACACACAAATGTATCTAGCCAATAAGATGGCATGATTGCATTACTTGTGTTTTATGTTTGCCTGAGAATTAGATGGCATTAGAAGCAGCTTATCGAATCTGAGGAGGGGGAAAAAAAAAACTGTTGCTCAGTCATCCCGGGTTATTTTCAGAAGAAGTTAAAATTATGCATTTCATATGACATGAGGAATCGGAGCCTGACGGAAGAACAGGAAGAAACTATTTTTTATTTTTTTTTTTTTTAACCTTGTATATACTTCTCACAGTGATTAGTTGGGAGAAGGATTTTGCTCTCCTTTGTGTTTAATCAATTCTAAAGTTGGCACAGCTGCCTAGTTGAAAAAATAAGGACTGTCTGTATGCTTATTTCCTGCTTCATGAGCTTTATGCAGATATTAAATTTATTTTTTATAAGAACTTGGATTGCTTGAAAGTACCAACCTAGAATCACAGTGCTTGATTGGTAAGAAGAGTGGTCCTCTACCCATCAATCAGATGGATTGAAAAGAGGAAGGTGAGGAAAAAACTTATCCAACAATACAGATAAGTTAAAAGCTGCTATCAAAGAACCCTGTGCTCTTTAACAAATCCACAGGGACGCTCAAAGCTACACTGTATTAATGCCATAATTTGTACATGAGACCCTGTCCTTATATTGGTTGCATATCCTTTATAGTTCAGAAACATGTTCAGCATTTCTAAAGTGAAACCCTTTTTAGTTTTGTCACATCCTAGTTTTGAGAAATCTTTTTCTTTTTGTTCAATTTAGTTTATTTATATTACACCAATTCACAACGTGTCATCTCAAGGAACTTTACAGAGACAATTCAACCAGATCATACAGTCAGATTGGTTCAACGTTTTCTATCTGAGGAAAACCAGCTGATTGCATCAACTCATTGACTCGACAGCAATCCCTCATACCAAGTATGCTTGTAGCGACAGTGGAGAGGAAAACTCCCTTTTAACAGGAAGAAACAAACATCCAATAGATTTGGGCTCTGTGTGAGCGATTATCTGCCGAGGCAGACTGGAGTTCGAGGAGACGGAAGCAGGCACGTAGTAAGAAGCAAAGATACTGTTGTGAGACTTTACCAGAAGATTATCAATATATTAAATAACTAGGACTGGAAGTTGTAGTTAATAGGTAAATCAAGGGTAAAACTAATTATCATGATGAGAATGATTTAATTTGCTTACTGACCAGGGTTTTAGCCTCTTTCCTAAAAGGTTGGACTCCTGAATCCGACTGTTAAAAAATCAGTTGTCTTTCACCAATTTAGTAATTTAGGCTCTCTTAGCAATGTCATTAATCACCAACTACACAAATGTCTCTGTTCATTCGGATGCTTCTCAAAGAGTGAACCCAGGTTGAGTGATAAATCGTTCACTGTTAAATAATACAAAGACCATGGGTTAAAATACAATGGTACCTTTATTAGCTACAATAACACAGTATTATATCAAATAACTATGTAAACACCACTTAAAATAAGCAAAAATTAAGAAATAATAGGGGAAGAGGGGTTTAAAAGTCTGTTTAAAATCTGAGAATATTTTTGAAGGAGAAGGGAAGATGTTACTCTTTTGGTTCGGTGGATTGAAGGCCTTCGGCTCGGTCTGGTTTTCTGCAGGCCCCATCTTCAGTCCAGTCAGTTCGTCCAGATTTTGGATTAATCCGAAGCTATAATAAGAGGCAACTTTGTTAGGGGGTTAATTTCTAACTCACAATAGCAAGGGACACCACCTTTTTAGATTCAGTGGTTAGCATGTAGCCGCAGCCTTCCAACAGCAGCTCCTCTGTGCTGCTCCATCTCAGGCCGTGTGGGTCCCACGGCTTCTAACTACTCCTTTGGCAAACAGTGATTGGGGGCCCTGTTGTTCGGTGGTTAGCTTCAGGTTAGCAGAGCTGGATTAGCTCTTCTCTGTCTCTACTGAAGCAGGCTTTAGGGAATACTGCATTCAACTCGGTTTGAAACACAAGAAGAATAAAAACACTGCGTTCAGTTCCTTCTGAACTGCAGGAAAAAGTCTGACTCGGCCTAGCAAGCACAGACTTCTCCAGAAAGATTTGGTCGCTACTTAGTGTAGCCTTCAGCTGAGAAGCACCCCGACTAGCCTTTAGTGGCCCAGGGACACTGACAAAATAGGAAATTTGACAGGAAGTTACCTCTTTAAAAAACTCTGCCGGAGTGTTGTAGTTCTGGTATCATCAGCGATACTTGATCCCAACAATATAAATTACTCGGCTGTTCACATACACCTGAACACTAAAGGACACTCGTTTGAGGACAACAACGTCCATATTCTGGCAAAGGGAAACGGATGGTTTGAGAGAGGGGTTATGGAAGCCATCTTTGTTAACCTGAAAAAAATTATCTCTCAACAAAGGAGTAGGTCTTAGGCATAATATGTCAACTACTTACAAAGCACCCTGCTCTCACCTGACTCATGCTTCAAAGAGGCATATGATTTTAACCACTCTGACGAGGGAGTTAACAACCCAATCAGACTTTATCCTCTGTTTACAATGAGAAAAAAAACAAAGCAACCTCTAAAGTTAGAGGTTGAACTAAAAAAATACTGCAGAATGGAGAATATAGATTGAAGCAGAAAGATGAAAAAGGGTCCCTATGTTTTACAGCATTCTAAGCCTATAGCAGCATAACTATATCAGATCTCTGATATAAGACGGAGCTTGGCCATTTAACACTTTATATGTGAGAAGCAGAATTTCAAATTTTATTCTTACATTTTGTTATATTCTTTCCATTAGTTGTTGCCCATATTATGTACAAGTTTCACTTGTGGTGCAAGAATAACTTGGTGAGGAACTGATTTAGATGGTAGATTTTTGTAAAGTACATTACAGAGAGCACTGGGTTGATGGAAAAATAATTTACAGGCAAAGCTGGAAGGAACCTGTTATTGCTAGCTGTTTCACAAGTGTGCCCACCTACTTAATAACACCCACAGCATTTCCACAGCAACCTGTCTGGACACACAAATCTGATCCAACTGCACTAAAATGAAAATGCAGTTTTTGTTTAAGATCTGGTCTGAAAGAACTGGTGGTGGGACAAGACAACCTAGTCATACATGTTACCTTAACAAACATGTCTTATGGTGCAGCTGCTTCCTAAAAGATAAATCTCTGCTACAGAACTATTCTGCATGTAGACAAAACAATTTTATGTAATTGTACTTGTATCATGCGGGCAGTTTATCCTTAAAGTTACCCAGCAGATTTTAATCAGATTTGCATCTGAGTTTCAAGCTGCTTCTGTTGATATCATGTTTGTACATGAAGCAGAATGATGATTCTGACCTGCACTCTGAATAAGGAATACTAAAGGTAGCTTAATCTAAGAACTCTAGCATGTGCTGTACAAATGTGATCATGCTGCCTGGGTTTATACTGAGGCCCAGCATGATTACACTGACAACAATGTTCCTTGTTTGACATAAAACTTGGACCCCAAAAAGGTATTGAACAATAAGTAGAGCCCTTTTCAGACGTAACCTTTTAAATCCCAGTTTCTCCTATTTTTTGTATAAAGTTCAGTTTTTTTTTTTTTTTCATTGCACTTTCCACATACCTTGGACGTACATAAAAGGAATGGTATTTCCTGGTTGTGCAAAGGCAACTGGATATTGCAATAACCTGTGAAGCAGCAAAACTGAGCAGACTGTGGGAACGCTAATGGAATCTACTCTATACATGCATCTCTGGTTGCATTTAGATTTAGCATCCCTGGCAACATGTACTGTACATATAACCTATATATGAATCTCTAAGAACAATATAAGCAATCAAAACAAAATTTTAAGGAAAGATACATTTCCTCACTCCCCACTGGTTTGGCAATTATTGGTACCTTTTAAAATGTTGTATGCTGACCATTTTTTTTTTTAGATTTTCCGATTTACTTCTAACTTGTATATGAAACATGGGTAGAATATCCAAAATTCAGTGATTTTTTTTCTTCTTTCCCTACTTTTACAAACATGACTGGGACTGTGTTTTCTGGGCTCATGTTAGTTTAAGCACATAGACCTGATAATTACACTCACCAGTTCATTCTGGGGGCATGTTTAGAAATTTTCTATTCAGAAAAGGATAATGCCAGAATCCCAAAATAACCTTACTGATTTTCAACAAGGAGCAGCAGCTTTACTTAGCTTATTCACCTTATTGTCCTTTACTAGTGGTGCTAGTAATTATCATGGATTATATGGTTATAATTATTTCCCACAGGCCCCCAGTAAAATTATAGTGCTACATAAACGAGATGGATTTAAGGGTCTTTTCTATAACTTGGATAGCGGTGTCTTTAAATGTAAAGCTTGGATATTTTAACCTAGCTATCTCTTCAACTCTTGCATGATCCTATATATGTTGTTGAAAAAGCCATTTTCTTAAATTACAAACAAATTACTGAAATGTTTTAAAATGCTATGGCGCATCATTTGTAGAAACCTGAATTAAATATTGAGTCCAGTTTGATCAATCATATTTTTTATCTACAAACCTTCCTTTAAACGTTTTTCCTCATGAATATTAAAACCGCTGCTCTAAGGAGTCATTGGTGCTGTCAAATCTGAGATAAATTTGGATATTAGAAATCTCAGCTACCCTGGAGCTTTACAGTAATAAGGCCATTAAAAAGCTACCCATCGATATGGGTCATTTGCATTAATGTTTTTATGATTCCCTTCTTTTTCCCCTCTAACCCTCCTTTTACAAGCTTCTGTGAAATTAAGGGGCTGTCTATCATTAAGATTTTTGCTAAAGAGAATAAACTTTTATTTTTATCTTATTGAAAAATATTACATAAATACAAAACTGGTTATAATAAAGAGCTATTTGTCACAACCCATCTTTTGATCCTTGCATTCTTCTCCTTTTTTAAATTTTTTTTTTAATAAAATCTTAAATCTAGATAACCAAGCCCTAAGCTTTTACCATCAGCAGCGTGGAAAGCAGAACTCTTTTTGGCAGGTCACACACATCACTTTTGGGTCATTCTCAATCTGGTAGTTCGGAGAGGATCCTGATGCCAACCCTCCAATCATCAGACATGTCTTCTTCTGAGTCTTGGCTGCAGCCTGAAAGTTAATTTTTGAAGATTCAGCTCGGTTAGAACGCCTATTCCCAGACCAATTTCAATGCACAGGAAAAGTGGGTGAACAATGATCCATGCATCCAGATTGGTTTTCTAGGGGTTTTCTCTTCTTCCCAATGAAATCAGCAGTTTGAATGATGATAGTGTGATGAAATTCTGGGACAGAATCTAACCTAACAAAGGGGGCTTCTAAAATGGGGTCTCCGCCTTCACTCTCATGGGTGCTGAGAGTGATGTAATGGGAATTTTTATGGGGAATGCTGCATTAGACGGCATGGTGCACTTACTCTTATGTTATGTCTATGAGAGGCTTTAACCTAATGCTGTTAATATCTGTGTGTGTGTGTGTTTCAGAGGCTAGTAAGCTGGTGATGTCATATGTGGCGGCAGTGTGTGGGAAGGGCCAGGAGGTGAATAAGGTCAAGGAACAGCTGCTGCAGTCCAATCCCGTGCTTGAGGGTAAGTGACAGTGGCTTGAGCTGCGTCCCAGTTTGGGGGCAGGACTATCTGATGTTTGCATGTTGGTGGAATCTGTGTTAACATCCATCTTCGGATCATCTCTTCACGAAAAATAATTGCAGTATTAATTATGCCACCTTAAACTCATTTTGTTGCAATACATGTCTTGAGATATAGAAGTTTGCACTTTATTGAGAAGTGTAAAAAAGGTATCATATAATTCTATTTTATTTATCTTTTTTTTTTTTTTTTACCAATACATGCAAATTTGACACACCATAGGCCCAGTATGCCCTGTATAGTATAACAGTAGCAGCAGCAGGGGAGATTCGTTGGGTCAAAGGATTTTCATACGCTGGAGCTAAACTTTGAAAATGCTTACAGCTTTTTATTTTGATGAATTCCTTTACTTTAAAACAGAATCGATAGCAAAGAGGAAAACGCTAGAGAAATTGGGAAGAAAGCTGTTGAAGTTTGAAGCACAGTTTGGTTATTAAACAAAATTCCAAGGTTTGGACAACTCATTAATCCAGTTTGAAATCTCTTTCAATCCATTTTTGGGAAAACAGAATTGGAACGTTCGAACTGCAAACATAACATGTGCCATTATATATTGTAATTTTGGATGAATCTGTGTAAACCTTTGCTGACTGTTTGTATGCCTCTAGGACTTTATAACAATATGTTTAGTGTGCTGTTGGTTTGGGGAAAAAAATTGTTTCTTGGGCCCCTTCCCTTTTTTTTTGCGGTTCGTTGTTTTGGGGAATTCTTTTTTTTTTTCTTTTCTTCTTCTTTACTTTAATTGGGGGCAGTGGACAGGAAATGCCCATGAAAAATGAAGCTGTAAGGCAGCGGAAAACCCTGCACATCTGCAAGAGTTTAGCTCCTGCCGATCTAATTGCCCCAACACAGACACACACAAAAGGAAAGAGGAGGGACCTGTTTATGCAGCCAAACACAACGGATTTATCATGGTTGCTCTGTGATGCTCTGCTTCACTTTCTTTATTGCTTCATTCTTTGAAACCCTCCATTTTTCACTCTTTGCTCTGATTTCTCATCAACGTTTTATCTTAGCATCTCTTATTCTGTGTGTTCTCGCCCTCTGGCTGCCGCCGTTCCAGACAACCGGCCCACACATTCACACTATCCGAATACTTAAACACATTATTTAGCTGTTATCAGCAATTAAGCTGTTATGCTCATATCTCTCTGAAATGTGGCATATTAATAGCTTTCGGAATGTAGAAATGTTGTTTGAAGCAAATTAAACTGAAACAGAACATGTCCTTTATGCAAATGTTCACTGGTGAACATCTTAGTGTATTTATTAGACTCCTTCGAGAGCATCTTGTTTTTGTTTATTTCTAAGCAGGGCCACATATGGAAGCACTTTGACTTGAATGTGGCGTGACATGAAGGTTTAGTCCTTCCTAAGCTTGGAACGCCCTGGTGCTTTGCTTAATCCACAGAATTATGGGGCATCATCAGTACAAATGGCTTTGACATTTATGTCTGTTATGATTGACAGCTGACTAGAGAGGAGGGCAATGCCAGGGATCAATATTAAAGGCTTAAGTGATGGAACAGAATGGGGCTTATCTTTTATTATTTCCACTGTACCTTTCAGAGTTAATTTTAAATATTTTTGGTTTACACAGTTTTTAACTTATTTAACTCCTGCCTCTTTTATGTTGCAGCATTTGGAAATGCAAAAACTGTGCGGAATGACAACTCTTCACGATTTGTAAGTAATGGCCTTGTATTTAAACACATTTTAAGCAATTTGATTCTGATTTGTTTAAAATATTATGAATGTTTATACTATCTTACCCTGCATTACATCTAAATAGAAGAAGTTTGGAAGTTTATTTCAGGAAGTCTTGTTATTTATTTTTATTTTTTTTTTAAGGTAAACTGATTGTCATGACTCGAGGATGAATTCCTATTCCTATATTATAGCTTGTATGATTTGGAGCTTTTTAAGGGAGAACTCCAGTTAAGATTGATGCCCTTTGAATCTTTCCAAAACTCCAATGATGTTGTTATTATTGCTGCTTTTACTTCTTTTTCTAATGCATTTTCTATGTATTCACTCAACTTTTGGGATTTCCACTGGATAAAGCTCCAGACATTTTCTGTAGAATAAAAAAAGAAGAAAAAATTGCTTAAAGCTTGTTTCTGGTTTGGCCCATAGTGTTTTTTTATTATTTTTATTTATTTATTTATTTATTTTTTAATTTTTGTTCTCTTATGCATTTGTTTTGTCTTAGTTGGGCTATAGCTATAAAATATGTTCTTTGCTTCCTCTATTTGTGCTGCTAGTCAGAAAATGCAGTTCTACTTCAAAATGCATTTAAAAAACATGGTGGGAGTTAATAAGCATTTTCTTAGGTTGTTTGGAAAGGAAAAGATTGCTACGGCAAACTCCAAAATGTGTCGTCAGACTGCATCGATCCTGAGGCCTTAAAAATCTTGGGAAAAGAGAAACCTGATCCGTAGGAATTAATACTATAAAGATTCATTCACGCACTTTGTGTTTTCCATTACAAATGAAATCCATGCATTAATTCTTTTAATACACTAATCCCCATATTCCAACATCCATCAGAAATACAGATAGCCTTTCTCAAAACCAAATAAGCCAGACAGGAATTCATATGCAGGAAAAGTAAAGTAGATTTTGTACATTTCAGAATACAAGTGGTTGGTGTCTAGATTCAGGAACGGATCCACTGCGGAGTGATGCATGACATAGTTTAATGAGTATCCTCCAGCTTCATGGTTGACAAACTTTTAGAAGTTCTGTACTTCCTAATAGTTGTTTTTTTTGTTTGTTTTTTTTCCAAGTGTGTACATGCCCTTTCTAAAAGGGATATGGAGCAATGCTGATTTTTGTCAACAAACCACTGATTTGGGTGAAGGCTGTGTGTCCATTTACCATCGTTTTATTTCCACAATGTAAATAGGATGCATTTATTGATACAGAATACTAGCTGACACACAGCACAAATTCTGCAGTCAATATGTTGCATGCGTACTACATGCATGGTCTCTGTACTGGCTTTACAACTTATCGAACACAGTGTTGCTTTAAAAGTAGTGTTTTAACTTTGCACGGAAATCATTCAACGTCTTGTTTGTATGGAATTTTGTTTGAATAAAACAAAAATCTATTTGCAGACATATTTTAAAGCCATAGTCTGGGGAAAAATCTATCAACAATTTGTTCTCCATCTTTTCAACATTCATTTCATTGATTTGTCCATTTGTCCACCGATTCATCAGTCTGTTCGTCCATCCAATTTTCCCCTTTATCTGTCAGTTTTTTTTTTCAGTCAACCAGACCTCAATCTTTCCAGCTGTCTGTGCAAATTGTTGGTTTATTTGTTCTACTGTGTCAATTTCTACATCCTTCCAACCATTGGTTTCTTTCCTTTCATGTCTGTATGTTTAACTTTCCTCCCATCCATTTCTTTCATCAGACTCTCTGTTCTGTCTTTCCATTTCTTTATCCCTCCAGAAATCTGACCTTCCCTCAAGCCATCCATCTGTCCTTCCGTCCAACGTTTTGTCCCCGCATTTCTAAATCTGTCATCTTTTAATTTCCGTTTATAATTTCTTCATTACTACCGTATAAGCTGTACACTTGTAATTATATACACTGTAAGTTTATAGTGAACTCTTGTATTTACATGATAAAAACACAATTTCTTATTTTTTTTAGACATGCTTGTACAAATTAAATTCAGTTCTATTTGTGTTTTCATTCATTCTCATAACTAGTAGTAATTAAAAATGAGGAAGTCTAGTAATAGGTTAATATATTCCATGTATTTCACATTCTCTGGTCTGATGTCTGATTTTGAGGCTTCTATAAATAGACTCAAACCCAGACTGCAGAACTTCAGGCAATTGCATTATGAAAGATATGGGTGTGTTTGTTTTTCACAGAAGCCATTCCCACACTTTCTTATTCTCAGTATTTTAAGGGAGGTGACCAGCACATCAACTCCCCCACCCCCCACCCCTGAGATGATTAGGTCCTGTTATTTTACATCTATTCATGTTATTTTAACATAACTTTTTATCATTAACAATGTACTGTGCATTTTTTTCCTTAATTTGTAGCTTCCAACAAGACTAATTTAGCCTCCTCCTTACAATGCCACACACGGGGAGCTAAACTGGTTCTTTAAAGCAAGCATGAACTTGCAGCTTGAGATATGAATATTTTCTGCTCTTTTACTTTTCAAACCGCTTTTGGTCATCTGTCTACACTGGTGCCTCTGAACAAAAGTGCTTGGACATACAGTTATTACTGACATCTCATTGGATTATACCTCTGATCTGGTTATATTTAGTTGACCTTGGCTCCAGCAGAAACCTTAGTTCTACTTACTAGCTACCACTTCATCAGAGAGCCATCATTTTAACATAAAATTATGAATGAAGGCTTCACTTCATTTTGCTGAGTGCAGAGGGCTTATTGAATTCTGCCTGAACCCGCCTACCAGCCATGCCTGGCTTGATCACTAAGCTACTATTAATACCTCAGAGGAGAATGGAGGGGAGGGGGTGGGGTACAGAAAAAAAATTAAACGCTTTTTATTCTAACCTCCAGCTTTAAGGGAATAGTACATTTAGGGTTTTGAGTTAGCCCTTCAAAGTGCTGTAAGCCTGTAACTTAAAGTATCAGTATGAACTCAACAGAACTTATTTAAAGCATATTTCAAAGATGAAAGTAAAAATCTGAGTAAATAAAAACTCACAGCCATTCTACTCTGACTCTCAGGGGAAATACATGGACATCGAGTTCGACTTCAAAGGAGATCCGCTGGGTGGAGTCATCAGCAACTGTGAGTATGAATTATTCAAAAGTGGAAAAATATTAGGGATGCCTGATCTGATATTGATGTCCATTACATGTCTGATATTGGCAAAAAAAATTATATCTGGTTATATCAACCAGCATCTGAAATCTCCAATATCGACCTGCTGATAGAAACACTCTGTAATGTTTAAAGTTTCTGTAACTTATTGGTTAATATTACATGGGTCAATTCTTAACATACCCTTTATTTTCTTTTTATTATGGTTCCATTTTTGCTGTGTCACTTGATCAAGCCTTCTCTAACATTCTACAGTACAAAACAATTAGTAAAAGTGTGTATAATTCGTGCTAATATCGCATCAGATCAATATCGGTATCAGTCAGTTCTCACAGCTGCAATATTGATATTGTATCGGAAATGAAAAAGTTTTTTTGAGACACCCCAAAAAAGATTAGCACAACAATCCTATCAAAAAATAGTATGGTGTTGGGCACAAATGCATTGCTGAAAGAAGCAGCCAAGAAGTTTGTGGCAGCTCTGGAGGAGCTGCTGAGTGGTCCAACTCCTGTAGGATATGTTGGAAAGACTGCCGTTAGTGGCGGTCTACAAATTTAATCAATCCATTGTGACAAGAAGGAAGGAAAAACTTTATAATGTGCAAAGAACAACAATGTGAGAAAGAAGGTTCTGTTGACAGGATGAAACTGACTTCCATTACTTGCATTCAAAACACCGAATGTCCAGAAAACTGAATACAGTTAACACACAGCATGCTTAAATTAATTTTGGAAAACGTTTTAAGAGCTATGAATTTTCTCCGACTTCACAATTCATCACTTCTGTGGTAGTCTATCGCAATATCCTGATATTATGTGTTTGTTTATGGTTATAAAGATTGCAGGGATATGAGTTCGCATTCCAACATTCTAATAACAACGAAACTCTAATATTTTGATGCATTTCAAATATTTTGTAAAGCTTTCAGTCTACCTTTTTTTGAAGTGACATCAAGTATAAACCATTTCCAAATGCTACCTTTCTGGATGAGGGAATTCAGACAAAACAAAAGAGAGCATGAATCCCATTCCTGACATTCTGCCCCACAGCTTATCCTCGCATGTTTTGATTTGATCTCTCCTCCGTTTCTGTGACCTCTGGCGGGGGAGGCTTGTACAGACAAAACATTGTGAACAAAGACGGAAACTAATAGCAGACACAAGTGTGCTTCTGTCTCCCTGTTTGCCTAAGTTGGTCTGACATGTGACTTGTTCAGAATTGGCTAGATGGACAACTCAGCAGATGGGCTGTGAACGTGGATGCAGGGCTGGATGGATTGCTTTGTTTTATTTCTATTGGTGTAAATCGTCAACCCATTTTTTTTTTTTTTTTTTTTTACACAGTACATTTCTGCCCCGTTTTATTAAAATGTGGGATTTTGTCCGGATATTGTATAGATTTGTAAACATGTAAAAGCACCAATGGGAGCATTCTGTGAATAGGACATGTAATCTAGTTTATGCTGCTTTTCAACAGAAAATATGAAGCTCTGGCCTTTGAAATGCAATTGTAAGATGACCAGATTTGTTGCACTGTGCAGAAGTAACTCAATTTAATGCTCCTAGAATAACTGATAGCTTTTGTTTTTTTTGTTGTGTTGTCACCTGCTTTTTCACAACTGTGCCAGAAGCCCTGCTGTAAATGTAAAGATCAAGAAAAATTGGCTTCTACTGGCCTTCCATCTCATTCTCTTTGCGTTTTTGATCACTGCTCCATATTGCTGCTGCCAGCCTCTGTCATGGGTGTTCTATTATTGATGTCTTCACTCCTAAGTGCCACTTATGTGATTCATGACCTGTGGGTGTCACAGAATCACATTTTAGTCTGATCCTCAGCTGACCCTGACATCGCCAGCTCACTGTGGAAAGGCTTGGTAATTCACTGTTAGCAGAACATTTGCAGATGCTCTGCAATCAAGTATTCTGTCCTTTCTGTACCACCCACTGGTGTCAAGTTAATTCTAAAGTATGGTACCTCTGAAAACCTACCTAGAAATAGCCATCCACTCAAACTGGCTGACCAAGGAAGAAGAGCAATAATCAAAAACAGCCCACAATGCTAAAGACATCTGTCACAAGTCTGGTTTGCAAATGACTGCAAGCCATGTTGTGGACAATGCAAACATGAAGGATGTTCTCATTGGATAAGACCAAACTTTGAAAGCAATATAATTTGTGCAGTGTTCATTTTTAAATGTAAACTGTTTTGATGGATTTTAAGAGAAATACTTGCAATACATAATTTTTTTCACCCTTGATTTAAAATAAAAATACCACTTCAATCCATTAGCGTTTGCGGTTTTAACACGACAAAGTCGAGAGGTATAAATGCTTTGGCCAGTCACTACCAACATGATTTGACAAGGAACACCTTTAAGTTTCTTATAAGTACAGGTATTACACTTGAACAAATCAGTTAGCTACAGTCGGATGCTTACTTTAAAACACCTTTGGGGGGAAACTCCCTGAAAAGACTTATTAGCCTGTTTGTCAACGTTTCCTTTTGTTTCTTTTTAGATCTGCTGGAGAAGTCACGGGTGGTGAAACAGCCGAGAGGAGAGAGGAACTTCCACATCTTTTATCAGCTCCTGTCTGGAGCCTCAGATGATATGCTCAGTAAGTTTTCTGAAAGGTTGCTAATTTTAAGCCTAATTTAAGTGGCTGGAAAGCATATAAAAAAACGAATGCAACTGAGCATTATTTAAAAATGGACTGTCACTCATTGAATCAGCAATTTGATGAACTAAGTTATATGTTCAAATCATACTGGAGGCTCCTAAGAACTGGTACAAAAAAGAAGTCAAACTAGCAACTGCTGGAAAATCCAGACAGTTATTATATGCTGTGCCTCATAATGTTTAATGTTAAACCGATTAAGATTTTGCTTGATTCGTGTAACAATCATATAGTTCTGTGAAAATCCTGCATAAAAGCATCGTCCTGCAGCTGCAGGAACACATGGCTTTTTCATCAACAACCTGATCTTCCTGCTTAACAAACACTGTGTAAAACAAAGGCTGGCAATGAGACCTATTCCCTCTGTTTGTCATTCTTTGCACTAAAGGCATTGTTTTATGTCCTGAACAAAATAATGGTCACCGGCCCCTAGAGTGCTCACATCAGAGGGGCTGGGTTTCGCTGTAGTTAATGCAGGCACTAATGAAACCCGACACGTGCGCCCACAAGAGGAATAGATTTCTTTCTTCCTACATAGGGTGGGCTTGTACGTTTGCAATTCAAGCCCAGGGAATAATGGTCACAGCAATTACTCATTTGTGGATGCATTGTGCAAAAGTGCTTTTGGATAACTATTCTGTGGATTTTTTAAGCACATTATATTGATTTACATCCCAGTGCCTCTTTGCTATGAGGGTTCAGGTTTGCAATGTAAATGCAGCGGAAATAAGGTGGAAATAAGGTTTGACCACATTGTTTGTTTTTGTCACAGAGAAGCTCAAGCTGGAGCGAGACTTCAGCAAGTACAACTACCTGAGCCTGGACTCTGCTACAGTCAGTGGGCTGGATGATGCAGCCAACTTCAGGACAGTCAGAGTGAGTCAAGCAAACGCATTTCACCTCAAAAAGGGTGCATCTCAGTCAATTAAACTGATGTTGTGAAAATGTTATTTGATTCTGGTAATACATTTTCAATGGTTTACATTTTTGTTATAAATTGTGTGGTAAATTTCAGTTATTTGGATAAATCTTTATGGTAAATGAATATCCTAGCTTAAGGTTTTTCTCATAATATTGTGTAACATAATATATTTAATGCATAGTTCTGTAGTTACCTGTAAACATGCCTCTTACTTCAATGCTTTTTGTTCATATTTTCAGATGGAGGACTTTGCAAATGCCCATCTTTCCTAATGACCATCTGTGTAAAATACGCCGATTTTTTTTTAAATTATTATTATTATAATCTGTTTTGAGTCCAACCAGGAAAAAAAATGCAAAGAAAGTTCTATCTACTGTTTTCAAACTCATGTCCAACATGCAAAATGGCCTTAATGGTGGTCCATTGCACCGTAAATGTAGAGCTACAAATATTTTCTGTATAACTGAAGTTAATGCTTACCTCTAGCATTTTAGGACATATTTCATTTCTTGCTAAATTATTGAAAGTTTTGACATTGCATTGTATGTAACGATACAGTAAATGTTTTGCATCTTTTGAAATTACCTTTACTTGAAAAGAGACCAATGAAGTTGAAACCAAACGCACGATAGCATGCAGTTCTCAAACACCATGGTCTGCTGACTCCAAGTATTGACTTTTTCTTTTTTTTATCTAAGCTATGCTCAGTTAAGCACAATACATGGACAAAGGGCAAAGATTGGTCACTTCTTATCGCCTGAACAGAATAGACAGAAGGTTTATTAGTCACCATACTTCATTGTGTAAACAGTTCACACCTGATTCCCGCCCGTTTATTGCAACAGCAGTAAAATATTAATACTGTATATGCCCACATCAAACCATAAAGAAAAGTAAAACCTTCTTTGTATTAAAGAGTCTCTGTGCACAAATGCATACTGTTGCATGGTCTTTGCTGTGCAGTTTCTGTTCCTCAGTTGGGGTGGGGGGAGATATTGTGTCCGTTTATTGCATTGCAGTGTAAGAGGTCCTATTCTTACATGTTTCTTTTTTTGCCAAACCACTGTACAAGCCCAGTCGGTCTGTATTGTAACGGTCAGCTGTCCTCGTTTCCCCACTTTTCACATCCTGCTTCCTATTAACTTAAAGCATTCCCAACACAGCTGCACCTCTCCACCGGAAACTAAAAAGGGACATTCCCTCTAAACAATTGGCCCCGTCACTTTATATCCTCCTTTTCAGTTAAACTAAGCTGGGCCAGGCTTTCTGGTTTTTTTGGGGTTTTTTTTTCCCTAAATTTAGTCAAATAATTTAAAGTTTTAATTTCTGACTTATATTTGCATTAACTTTAAAACAGAAAAACAGAATACCTTAACTATGAGGCTTTTAAAATTTTTAGACCTAATAAAAAAAATCTTTTTTTTGGCTGGGTCTCATTGTCTGTATCTAGACATTAATATCTAATGTATTGAGAAACCCATTATGGTGAATATTGAGTCTTAATTTTTGATTCAGTCCTTCACTAGTGATTTTAACAAGCTTATGGCTTGCTTCCATTTTGGTACTATTGCCTATGCAGGCACAACAATCTTTCATTCACCAACTCATGCAAGACTCCAGTTTTATTTGGGGTGTGTCCTTCCTATTCCGATTTATGAAATTTTCAAGCACTAACAAAGGTTGACCATAAATATTGTAAAGTGTCCCATTTTATTGAATCAAATAAGGAATCATGTCAATATTTTACATTTTGACCAATAATTTGCGTCATCAGTTAAAGTATCTCATAAAAAATGACGATATCCATCCACCCTTATATAGGCATAAGCTGGTAGAAGGTTCTGAAGGTATTGATGAGTATTTTGTGGTTCATTAATTGAATCTAATGCAAATTATAGTTTACTTATTTGAAATGGAAAAAGCATTAGTTATTACTGATAAAATGTATGGAATTTTTGGTGAATTTTTCTCATTTTTGGATTTGATTTTTAACTAACATTTTAAATTTTGTAGTTTTTATCTCATTAATTGACGCAATGTTTCATTACTTTCCTCTGCTGTATGTAGAGTAAGCTTAAGTATGAGAGCTGATATTGTCAGGTCCCACTTTGAAATTGCTTTCTATAGCGTATAAATGGAATTTCATCTACAACGGATTGCTGAAAAAAGCGGAACAATTTTCAAGCTGCTAAATCTTTTTTTCTTTTCTATAAGCTAAGATGTAGATGACATGTAGACCTGCCAGCCAGACTGACTCACTCACAGCATAATGTCAGTCTGGTTAGGAGCAGACTCTCCAGTCTAAAACAGACCAGAGCAATCACAGCATGGAAGGCGGGGGTTTTGATTGTGCCACAATTACTGTACTTATAATGCAACAGCTCTTTTCTGTTACCATGAACATGCAGCTGAGCAATGTTTTAATATCGTCCTTTATGTCCCAAATGAGCTGGATGTGTGTTTGAAATTTGAACAACTGCAGTAAGAGCTGGAACAGGCCCATACCGATCTGTGACTTATCCATTTTATTGTTTTTATCCTATGCATAGAATGCAATGCAGATCGTTGGATTCATGGAAGATGAAATGCAGTCAGTGCTGGAGCTGGTAGCTGCTGTTTTAAAGCTGGGAAACCTTGACTTCAAGCCAGAGTCGCGTTGTAATGGTATGGATGAGAGTCGAGTGAAAGACAAAAATGGTAGGTTTGATCTTTTTTTTTTTTTTTTTAAAGTTGATATATTATACATTTATAATTATATATATTTTGTTTTTGTATAGCTGATGGAGATGGATAAACCTATATTTTTGAATTTAGTGGAACATGTTTTTCTACACTGCAAAAGAAGGCTTTGATCCACAGAGGACCTTACTGTATCTTAAGCTTCTGCCTCCCTTATTGGCTGCTTTTGTGTTCTCATCCTGCTCACCAGATGTTATGTTTTATCATGAGCTGGGTGTTATCTGTCAAACATTTGTTTTCTTTAGGCAAATTTTTAATTTGCATGTTTTCCAGACAACAACAGCATGATCTATTGCTGCCATTTATTAGCAGTTGGTTATGTTTTAAATAACGCATCACTCTAAACTAGACAGGAACACAAAAAGACTGTTTATATAATGCTCTAAGTGTCTATTCATATTGTTCATGTTCAGTATGTTTAAAACTGATTTGTTTCAATCATGTTTGCTTTTTAGTTTGTATTTTTCTATTGTATATAAGGCTCAATATCCTTGCAAAACGTATGTTTAATGTTCTCTTCCTTTCCTAAATTTAATAGATTTGAAGGAGATGTGTGAGCTGTTGGGAATCGAGCAGTCTGTACTGGAAAGGGCCTTCAGCTACCGAACAGTTGAAGCCAAGATGGAGAAAGTTTCCACCACGTTGAATGTGGCCCAGGTCAGAAATGAAGTTTTAACTTGAACCCAAATCTGTTATAAGCACTCGTTTCTGTTATGCTGGTGTGGGTACATTCCCATTCCTTCAGTCCGCAGAAAAATAAAGGGTCATTTCTTCCCCTTGACTTGCTTTCCCACTAGCTGCCAACTCTGATCCATGTCAATGCCACATAAAAACCTTTACATAATAAATGAACACTGTTTCTCCTGGAAATCAAAATCTAGGTCATGCCTGAGAGTTTAGGAAGTTTTTCACATTAGATAGACTTAAAGTTGATATAAAAAGTTGTAGAATGTATGAATAAAATAGCAATCACGCTGCTAATTTAGACATTTTCCCCTAAAAATGAAATTATTAATGTTCATATTTAAAAGAGCTTAGCGTTTTGTGTACATTTAGGGGAAAGGTGTACAGCAGAAACAACTTTCTTCGAGAACTGCGTATATTTTGGCAACGATCACGTGTGCAGCTAATGTCATTTGTTTCGCAGGCTTACTATGCCAGAGATGCACTTGCCAAAAACCTCTACAGTCGCCTGTTTAGCTGGTTAGTGACAAGGATTAATGAAAGCATACGAGTAAGTGAAAATATTTTCTTGATTTTAAATTTAAGGTCCTTTGCTATGCTAACATTGTTGTGTCCTTGCAGGCCCAGGCTAAAACTCGCCACAAAGTGATGGGTGTACTGGACATCTATGGCTTTGAAATATTTGAGGTAAGATGCAGGGCAGATTTAACTGGCCGATTATTTCTTCATAACCCCAAACGACTGAATCAGACCACCCAAACGGGAAAAACTCGGGAAATTGGTGTTTCTTTTTTCTTCCCCAAAGCTGTTTGCCAGCTTTGCCACCTGTATTGAGCTTATCTGTAACAACTGAGAGCTGATAAAAATGCTCTTGGATTAGTTCAGCTTTGTTGCTCCCTTGGGTGAAAATGCCTTTGTGGTAAATATACTGTTCATTGCATATGGAAGGGGAAATTCTCATCAGTTAAATACATGGTACAGATGTACTGTTAAATGTGCAGTAAATGGTTTCCACCTTGTGCATGTTAGTGCATGTAACACATACAAAACAGTTTGGTATTTGGTTTTGAGTTGTTTTGCTGAATATATTTTTGTTGCCTGTTCATGTGTGCATTATTATTATTATTTTTTTTTATATCACTGTCTATTCATTTCACTGACTCTCAAGTCCTTCCATTTTTCTTAATGTTGTGGTGTTTTGTCTTGGTCACCAGGAAACAGTAAGTAACACCCACACTGGCCTGCTTGCTGTGCCATGTGCATGCTGTGATCCACTAGACAATTTAGCAGCCTCTTTAATTCTATGTGGTGTGCAATATAGAGTCACACACAGCTGAAATTATGCGGAAGAAACCTTTGCATCATTTAAAAAATGGCAAACATGTCAGAGTTTTAATGATTTTATAAGCCTTAACTATTTTTTTTTTTTTATTTTTTTTTAGCATTGGTGTCACTCTAACTGCATTTAATGATTATTTGCGTGTTTCAGTTTCAAGGTTGCATAATTTTAGCTGAGTGTGCTTACATGTAGATTAGTGCTGAATTTGTCTTTGGGTTTATTCTGTAAAAGCTGTGGGTTTTTTTATGTGTTAGAGATTTCCAAAACTTGTACATTAGTGCCAAAATGAAAGTCTATTGGTTAGTTAGCTATTCTTAGCATAATTCTGTATGCTGAATGACGCTAACTAACGATGTTAAATGCAAGTCACAACCAAAACCAATGTACAACTTTAGATTTTTTTTATTGTGTAAACTGTAATATTCACTGTGGGTTTATGAATACGTTTAACTCTATAAATATACATTGGAATAAATGTTTGTATGGCCTTCCCTCTATAAAAAAAGCTAAATTAGACCTATTAGGGTGATTTTTGGTGCTAAGGAGTATTTATTTCTCATCTGCATTCCAAACACTATCATTCAGTCTTATTATTAAATGTTTAGTAAGGAGTTGAAGGCCTAATTTATTGGCTACGTTCCGTTTAAAACCTTTCAATGTAACCCTAATACTGTAGACTAACATGATATCACCAATTTACATGAACAATCTTGAAAATAAACTATAGCATAAAAAGTTTAACCAAATGATTTTAAGTCCAATACAGGACTTCTTGAAAAAAAAATGTATTTAATGCATACAGAATAATCTAAAAAAAAAAACAAACAAAAAAAAAAAAAAAAAAGAGTCCTGCTTTATCCTGTAGTTTATCTTAACAGAAAGTACAGGCAATTGCAAATGGTGTCATATCGGTTTTTAGCAAAACAGAACTGATAAGTGAATAGAAACATTGCAGATTTTCTACTCTGGATCAGCAAAGCTCAGCTTCAATAACCAAAATCAAATGTATATTTTTCAACAATAAAAATTAAGTTCCCCCACCTTGAGATGAAGCTACTAAATCCAAACATTGATGCTTGTAACAACGTTATATCAAACATCAAAGATGTCACCATGCTGTTCTTAATGGGTTTCTTCTACATAGTTCAGCTATGGTTTTATTTTTTTTACTGTTTGTGTATGTTTTTAAGGGAGGGCTTGCAATTAACTTTTGATTGCTAGAAGAATGGGGAAAAAAGATCAAAACAAATTTTAAAACTAACCTCATGTTGCAGTGTATCAAATTTCCTGTACACTAATAAAATGTGGTGTCAACCTTGAATTATTTCCCTGAACAGGATATTTAATAAAATAAATATTAACTGGTTGGTGATAATCAGTAGAAGAAACATGACTCATTTCTTAGCCGTCATAATTGACCAGAGGGTACAGGTTTTTAATAATTACTAACTCACAAATGGTTAAGGAAGTCTTTAAAGTCTTACTGGAATTTTTCATAAGGATTTATAATCATTGTGAGAGATTATTTTTAGATTAAATATTTGCTCAGTTACAGTTTTTATGGTGATGAGATTGCAATTCTCCATTCCCAAGCTTTTAATTTGTTACAACCCAGTTTTTTGTACAAGAGTATTCTTTCAAAATATTCTTTAATGATGAATAAAAATGCTTCCTTAATGAGCCCCCCAAAAATAATTCTGGACTCTAATTTTTAAACATAATGTTTAAACTTTGATATTTTAAAAATCTGACGGTTATGTCCTGAAATTCCCATTATTCTTTACAACGTACTGTAAATGTATAATCTTAAATAACTGAGCTGAAACCTTTTATCAATTATTCACAACATTATATGCAATATGTTGTAAAGATGTAAACATTAGTAATGCATGAAAATTATCCTCTGCTATACTGTAGCCTTTTAATTGTCAAAGCAGTAAACAGAAAGCTTAAAGAAGCTTCAAATATTTCAAACTGTAAGACGGAACGTTTAAGTGCATATCTTCTTTAAGCTACCGGTAATATTTTGGTAATTTTAAAAAACATGTGTAAGTTTCTCATTAATACGTTTCCCTGCCTGCAGGACAACAGCTTTGAGCAGTTTATCATCAACTACTGCAACGAAAAGCTGCAGCAAATTTTCATCGAGCTGACCTTGCGTGAGGAGCAGGAAGAGTATGTTAGAGAGGTAAGCTGTGATTTCTATAGAGAAGCTTTAAAACTCCTGGGAAATTTACCTTTCAACACTTGGCTTTTCCATTTTGTTCCTTTCACCTGCAGCTGTACATCTACATCTTTTAACTTGTCAGCACTCTGTTTATTGTGTTGACAGTCCATTATGTCCATTATGGCTGCCCTTAAAGCACTGCTTCTACCTGGTCATTTCACTCAAATATTTAACCCCTTCTACTCCCTCACTTAAACTTTTTATTCTATTCTGTACAGTAAACACATTTTTGCTTTTCAATCTTTTGATTTCTGTCCCTGTCTCTGACCCACCAGCATTTTTTTTTTTTTTTATTCTGCACACTCGCAGGGACGGAAATGATCCCTCACTCTGCTAAGAGTAAACACTCCCCGATCTGGACCTTTAGGCCCTGTTTGTTTTCAGAGCTCTGAGTTTGAGTGCAGCAGCGTTGACCCCACACCCCCCCTCCCTACTTACACCACTACCAATGATATTCCACTGCTGGCTTGTGTCCAGTGTATTGCATGGGAAAATACCACGGCACTAGGGAAAGGAGGAGGAAGAACTACCAATCAAAAATGTGGCCAGTCGCCACATACCTTCTTTGCATCCATGATGTGAACATATTGTTGGCCTTGAAGCATCTCATCGATCCATAGTTAAATCAGTGGAAGTAATGCATGTTTTTATGAGTCGACTAAATTTTTTAGAAAAGGGCAATTTGGAAAGTGTACATTTTGTCTTTCATTGACCTTTTTGCAAATGAAGGTGGTTGGATGAAAAAACCCTCACATCAATGGCAGTTATGGATGATCAGACAAATTGGACAACATTTTAAGATCTTTACTGGCGTTTCATTAAGGTGTGAATGTTAATTAAATTCCCATTAGGCCTTATTGAATGCATAACACTCGAGGCATATTGTGACCTTGGATTAAAGTACATTTATGTGTAATTTAAAAGGTTTGGAGGAGAATGGGAAGCACTGAAAATGTATAATTTAAGGTTGTGTTTTTTTTCCTCAGTATTTAGAGGTTATATAATTTTGTCCCTTATAGTAGCCCCACGGGTTTTTATTCAGTCTGAATCAGTGTCGTGTTCTTTTCAGTTGCACATCAGTTTGTCTTTTTGCTCTTGAATTTTTTTCTGTTGTAAATGATTTAGGTAAATGGATAATTCTATAAAATGTTAAAATACTTTATTATTTAACTTAATTCCTGTGTTTCAATTGACTTTGCTTTGTTCCCATTTTAGTTAAATTGAAATAATAAAAAGTGAGAGCTTAAATCAGGCCTTTATAACTTAAATCAGCTGTTCCAAGGTCTAGCATCTTCTTTGTTAGTTTAACTTTCAAGAGGATTTAAAAAACAAGTGGGTTGTGATCAAATTGTTGAATTTAGGTCCGATGTGCTTTTTTAATACAGTAATACAGTTTAATACTCTCTCTGTATTCTAATATTCTATTTTCTCACTTCTATAAACATTCAATAAATTCATTTTTGTTATATGCAAGAACTGCTTGGAAATGTACAGAACCTTCATAAATGAATATTTCTTGCTTATGTGCTCTCTAACAAGAACATTCAACTTTTTAGAAGTGAGTTATTACTGAATTGATAGTTTGGGCCATAAAGCTTTTCCAGTGTTTTTTGCATTGTAAACTAAATGTTTGAAGATGACTGTTTTAATAACCCCATGTTAGGGTATATTTAAAATATACGACTACATTGTCTTAAAGTAAATGTATATTGAAATTTTATGCAAATAATTTGTCCCAAACAAGCAAAACTGCACAAGTAGGAAAAGGTAAAATGGCATAAGATATGATTGCCATAGATTAGAAAAGTCATGCTCTGATCGTTGTAGAAATTCTTCATGGTTTATTTATGCTTTTGTTGTTTAAATCAAATATTTTTTTGAGCATTAGATGTAAAGAATAAGGTCTTGCAGAAGAAGGTATTTTAGGGAATAGTTGAAGAACTGTTTGAAGATATTTCCACTTGCAGCCTTTTGAAGTTTCAGACATACAGTACTGTTTAGTTGGATTTGTAAAATGCCAGTTATTTATGGTGAGATGTGTAAAGCCTGTAAATGACCTGTACATGTGTTGTGCCTAATCAAGTCAGAGGCCTCAAAATATTTCACACTCCATTCAGTCATTCACCTATTCACGAGTTGATGGTGGTAAGCTACTGTACATTGTTCCCATAGCTGCTCTGCAATAAAGCAGCAATTGCTGCCACTGGGTCCTCTGAACACCAATACCAGAAGTGATGGGTGAAGTGTCTTCTACAAAGACACAACATATGCGATGGTGACTTTAGCCAGCAAGCACACAGTTACAGGACAAAACCCGGCTTCCTGAGCCAGCATCACCTTAGGCACCAGCATTGATGCTTGAAGTGAAGGATTACATCTTGTAATGTGACTAGTTGAAGTGTTTTTTGTTCATTTTATTTAATTTTTAAAGGCAATATACCTACCAAAGTCTTAAATTTGATTTCATATGCTGATTAGCTGTACAACAAAGGTTGTGTCAAAAATAGCCTTTGTCTTTTCTGACCTGTATGTTTTTATTTTTCCAGGGCATTGAGTGGACAAACATTGAATATTTCAACAATGCTGTTATATGCGATCTTATTGAGAATGTAAGTCAAATTCATGTTCCTTTTGAGAATATGAAAAAGTGTGAATCTAAAGTTGTTTTTTATTGTAACATGAGCTGTGTTGTAGACTCCGAGATAGTGGCTTCAAGTCCACAGAGCGATTAACTTTAAATGATTATTAGCTTACATTGATTCTGTTTGTGCTAGAACCAAAATGGCATTCTGGCCATGCTGGACGAGGAGTGCCTGAGGCCTGGGACGGTCACTGATGAGACCTTCTTGGACAAACTGAACACAATCTGCGCTGAACACCAGCACTTTGAAAGCCGCCTAAACAAGAATTCAAAATTTCTAAATGACCACAGCCTGCCACACAACTGCTTCCGCATCCAGCACTATGCCGGCAAGGTACATAAAAAAAAAAACGGTCAAAGTTTATTAACTTGGTCCTCTGAGTCTTAAAGTAGATAAATATCAGCCTTTAAATCTTCTTGTATTTTCCTCCTATATTAAGGTGTTGTACCGTGTCGAAGGCTTTGTTGACAAGAACAACGACCTCCTTTACCGGGACTTGTCTCAGGCCATGTACAAAGCTAACCACAGCCTCATCAAACAGCTGTTCCCTGAAGGAAATCCTGCAAAAGTCAACCTTAAACGACCACCAACTGCTGGATTCCAGTTCAGAGCATCTGTTGGCACACTAATGGGCAATCTGCAAACAAAGAACCCAAACTACATTCGGTATGTTCAATCTGCTCAATGATACAGGTGTATTCTGAAAATGAAAAGCAGAATTCCTCTCTCAGGGACTAAGGCTGAAAATCAATGTCTTCTTCCCAGGTGCATCAAGCCTAATGACAAAAAAGCAGCCCACATCTTTACTGACTCCCTGGTCCGCCATCAGGTGCGCTACCTAGGCCTGATGGAGAACGTCCGTGTAAGGAGAGCAGGATATGCCTTCCGCCAGGCCTACGAGCCCTGTCTTGAGCGCTACAAAATGCTCTGCAAAAACACCTGGCCACACTGGAAGGGGCCTGCCAGGTAAACTGGTGCAAATCTTGACAGAAGAGGGTGGTCTGTGGAAAGCAAACCCTTTAAATTACTCCCAGTTGTCTGGTTGTAAGACATCTCCCAGTGGGAATGTTTTTAACCAGCACTGAGGTGGTTAGTGCTCCCATGTGTGACTGTGAGGGAAGGTTGTTAAAAAAAAAAAAAGTGTTCAGATAATTTCAGCATAGGCAAAGATTCAGAAAGAGATTGGATGCATCGATGGTCTAATGATTCGAAGGTGATGATTTAAGGTAGAGGTATACAAAATTATAGGAAAACTTTTCTAGTTTCCTTGATCATTTCATGCTTTTCTAAAATAAAGCACCTTTGAATTTGTTATGATAGAATACATAAAAATCATGCTGACATCCTCAGAAACATGCTTCAGTTTCGTCACATTCCAGATGTTCATCGTTCGGTATTCCCCATCTGAACCACAACATGTTGAGGCATTTCATCCTTATCTGTCTCCTCCATTCCACCTCAGCCAGACTTCCCCGTTTCATCCACAGTGCTGGCGAGATCACTGATTCCTATCTGATCTGCCAAACATTGGCAGCCCGTTTTTGAGTCATCTTTGGGCACTTTGTAAGGCTTTAGTCATTGCCTTTCTTTGTATTTTTTCTTTAGCTCAGACTCTTATTTATTTTTATTCTTTTTGTTTGTTTGTTTTCCCAAAAAACACTTGTTCACTATTCTCCTTGAATAGATAAGTAACCATCAGACATTTAAGAATGATTATAATCTTGCATTTTTGTATAGCTTTGACCAACAAGTACAGATTTCTGATTTGTCCATTAAGCACTTTAATTATGTTTATATATTTTTCTTTTCTATTTTCCCTGCCATTAGTGGTCATTATTAGAACCTGAGGCAAATTCAGACGTGCGTGTGTGAGAGCATGTAGTAACTATGAGACAGGGTTTTAATAATTAAAAATTAGAGAATATGCTAAATTAAAATAAGATCATAAGACTAATAGCATGGGGCTGCACGGTGTGCTGTGGGTAGCAGGTTCTGGGTTCTATGCCCGGGGTCTTTCTGCATGGAGTTTGCATGTTCTCCCTATGCATGCATGGGTTCTGTCTGGGTTTTCCAGCTTCCTCCCACAGTCCAAAAACAGGACAGTTGGATTAATTGGCTTCTCTAAATTGTCTTTAGGTGTTAGTGTGTGTGTGGTTGTGTGTCTGTTTTCCTGCGACAGACTGGCGACCTGTCCAGGATGTACCTTGCCCATAAACTGCCAGCAGAGGCATCTGTATACCATCTGCTACACCACTGCTCAGCACAGTGTCCAATGATCACTAATCTCCAGTGTGCAATGCAATCACAATGAATAGGTGTAGGATGTTTTTGTTAATGGTAGAAATTGGCTTGTTCTAGATGATCCTCTAAAGTAACTGCAATAGTATGCACCTTAAGAGGGTACTAAAGTTGAGAAGCTTTGCCAAGAGCCACTGAAGTTTAACAGGGGTTTAATTTGTTTTTGGTAATTTCTGCAAGTCTTAAAATTAAATCATAAAGGACTTCTTAAAAGGTCTCAAATGCTAAAGTTTAACTCAAGCAGAAACACTTGTTCTATTATGTCCAGTCTTCCTGGTAACTGTGGGTTAATTTACCACCTCATACCCACTGTAAGTACGCACATCAACATTGGGCAATGTAGCAATTGGCGACATGTCCAACAGCTAGATGCATGCTTTTTTCTGAATCACATAGTCCTTTTGTGTGTTGATTCCTTAAAACTTTACGAGGCTCCAAAATGCTAATGAGTTTAAAGTGAACACTTTAAAGTTTAAAGTGTTCTTTATCTGGTCAACAGATGATTTTTTTGGTCGATATAGATGTCTGTTAAATTGGCTTCTAATGAGCTACTTGATCACATCTGTTTTCTAGACAAGGAGTTGAGGTGCTGATGACTGATCTGCAGGTTCCAGCAGAAGAGTTTGCTTATGGCCGCTCCAAGATCTTTATCAGGAACCCAAGAACGGTATGGAAAATTTTTTTCCCTTAATGTTTTCCTGGTTCTCCTTAGTATCCTTAGTGTTTGCAAGTCTAAATGTTGAAGTTTACTCAACCTGTTTTCTCACAGTAAGATGTTTGGAAAATGGGATGGGCTTCATGCAGAGCCCCGATTTTAGCAATTAGCATGTAACCACCGCTTTGAAAACACATGGTTTCACTTAGTGATCTAACATGGGAAATAAGTTGCTCTGTGTTTTCAGGCCTCAATTGTTCAGGGCTGCATCATACCCAGAGCACAGAGCTTTAAATAACCTGATAACTTAATTACCCTCTTCCTCTGTTTTGATAAATGTATCCAATTTATACATCATTAAAGTATAACACAAAATAAAATTGAGCACACATAAAGCTTGATTTCTGAATATTATTATTTGTGGTTATTGCTGAGATTGAACATGCCTAATCTAATTATTACCATTTATTCAAGCTATTTCAGAATTTAAAATATAGAACAAAATGAGGAAGTTGCAGGCAGAGGAGGGATAAATGGAGATCATTTAGCAGTTGCCTAGTCTCTCACTATAAAATATAGAAATGTTCAACTTAAATTTTTAATGTCCATGGATTCAGTTGGGGTAAATTATCACACTTTCAGACATTAACATTATCCGGGGTAACACAAATATTAGCATCAGTGCTGTCAATTAGTTTAGGTCCAGGAACTGAGCTCTACATGGAAGGTTGATTTGGTATCTACTGTAGGCTGTTACGATCTTGATATTTTGATTTGGTTCTCTAAAATATATAAAAAATATAGATTTTTTTATTTTTTCTTCAATCAAAGATCCAAAGCATTACAGATTCTTCAAAACACTCAACAGTACCAATGAAATGCATTTCCACATAGTCACCTCCCTTCTTCCACTTCAGATTTGCCCGGAGTATTTTTTACCACCCAAAAGCTTAATCTAGTTTCTCGTGGTGCCAAAGCACATGGTTCCAAGTGAAGTCCCAGTAGAGTAGAGAAAGATCCATATTTAGAATTTGTGATGGTATGTCTCCAAAGCATTTGACATGGTTGTTAATCAACAGCAGTAAATGGTGGCATCTATGACTTCTTATGTTCAGAACCTTGCATACAATCCTTATTGTGTGTTTATGGTTACTAAAAATAAAATGCTTTTGCCATAGCAATAAACCCCAAGTGTGCATACTCCATGGTTAGTTCCATGGAGAGAATTGGTTATATGAAAGAACGTGGACAAGGAATCTGTGTTGATACAATTTCTGGTGCTCTGGAGTTCCCCTTTATAATAGGCAGTTATTTTATTATTTTCTTGAACAGTATATTTTGTTGGGCCCTGACTGTATGCAGTGACAGTCCCTTTGGTGATGAATGTAAGCATTTCTTAGAGCTCTTTTGTAGCTTTAGAAAGCAGAAAGGTTCACAGACCACTAGATTTAAAGTTCCCTGAAAGTTGAGGATTAGGAATGTTCTATTTGGACTGATATGTGTGAATTGCATCTGTTGTAAAGCAATTTTAAAGAGTAGAATACCTAGTTGGGTTCAACTAGATGCAGCCAGCACCATAAATGCTTATTGAAGCCTTGATATGGAATATTTATTCCTATACATATTTCTTATATTTAAAGATTTGTTTTTCTTAGTTTGCTTTTGACATCAGACCTCATATTGTGTCAGTTGCTTCACCCATAGTTGCCTTCTCTCCATGCAGCTCTTTTTCCTGGAAGAGAAGAGAAAGCAATGCCTGGAGGACCTTGCAACACTAATTCAGAAGATCTACAGGGGCTGGAAGTGTCGCAGCCACTTCCTGCTGCTGAAAAAGAGCGAGATAGTGGTGGCGGCATGGTACCGCCGATACGCTGTGAGACTTCTTTCTAAACTGTTTCATAGCTGCCCATACCCACAAGCTCTGTTACTCACATTGGTGCTGTCCGTGTTCAACAGCAACAAAAGAAGTACCAGAAGATCAAGCATTCTACCACCGTGGTGCAGTCCTACACCAGAGGATGGCAGGTATGAGGCTTCCTGTGAACTAAACCTAATCTAGAGTCATGAATAAATCATAAAAAAAAATGTCTTCTTCTTTTAGGCTCGGAAACTCCTGAGAGAGCTGAAGTATCAGAAGAAATGTGAAGAAGCTGTGACCACCATTGCAGCCTTCTGGCATGGCACACAGGTACAGTTAAAGCTCTAACAAAGGAATGCAAGAAGAACACAATTGTGGCTTTTTATTTCCTATTAAAGAGTATTCCTTTAGAAGTAGACTATCACATTTTTTTTTTTCATTTCTGCATATTGGCACAACAGTTTTCTATTTTTCTTTTTATTTTCTGTGCTTTCTGGGATTTTGTGCCTGCTGTTTTTTCCCCCTGTAATGCTGTTTCTTTTGATGATTGCACATCTACTCTTTCCTCTCTGTTCCTTTCAATTTTCCCCTCTCAATGATATCGCTCTGCACATCTTCAACTATTCCTACCTTACACCCACCACATCCCACCAGGCTCGGATGGAGCTAAGGCGTCTAAAACAAGAAGTGCGGAATAAACACGCTGTGACAGTAATTTGGGCATACTGGCAGGGAACCAAGGTATTTCCTCCTAGCTGTAGTATTGCTGTCCCAGCTGTCTTGTCACTGTTGTTTACAATGTCCCATTGTGACTAAGAAAGCGTGTAGTGGCATAAAACCACTGCTGGATGAACATCTATTCAATCATCTTTACCTTTATATCTGGTTTGTTGCTTTTAATGATCATTTTAGCGTTTTGTTAAATTTGTGCCAATTATAAAACTTTAAAACTGAAGGTTTTCTATTAATATTTTGCTTTTCTTACTTTATTACATTGAACAGGTTCAACCGGCATCATTCAACTGCCAATTCAATTTATGCTTCAAAAAAATCTAAAGATGGCTGTCATGGGTTTCTTCCATGTAATCTTTCAAAACAAATTAGGCTTGAGGGATTTCTTGACTGTGTTGCATCATTTCTTAACCAAACTTTCTGAGTGTCTGGGAACAGTAGAGCGGCTGCTGTAGTTGCGAAAAAAAAAAAACATGTTCTCACATTCTTGCTTGATTAAGACACTCAACAGTTTCAGTCTTCCTTTGTTGTGTTTTTCCTTTCACCACATTTAGTTAGAAGGTGGGAAATATGGATGGCAGGCAGGTGTGCATAGAAATGCACCGGTTTGGAGCTGCAAATCCTTTTCTTAATTTTAGAAATAAAATGCACCATTAAATCAAATGTTCAACGTAGCACTTATTTTTTCCTAACTAAAGAATACATGTTGAAACTGAAAATGGTGGCATGTTCATTTGAAACAGCTGTGCAACTTTAGAACACATGGATTCTGACTTTATGACTCAGGTTAATTTTTATCAGAGATGTACTTGCTGTTTGTTAACAGAGATGCATTGAGAACCTGTATGATGACTGGATTTACATGATTGATAGGCTGGTTAGAAATAGCAACAACAAACAGCTTTAGTGCCATTAAAGTTTTTAAATAGCTTTCAATATATCTGTAGTTCCACCATCTTCATTAGAAAGTTCCATGTTAGGACATGCTTGGCTTCTGTCTTCTCATGTCTTATTCTTATGGATTTTTGGGGTTTCCTTTTATGGTTTATTGCTGAATATACCAGATTTGAAATGTTGGCACTCTTTGGAAATTGAGTTAATGGTTTGGATACTACCTGCAGTAATTCCTATTAGATAATATAAAATATCAAATATTTGATCATAGCCTATAGGAAGAAATTATGTATACCCAAGGTATATGTATACCCAAGCTGAAAGCAAAACAAAAATGTGAATGTAGAAACATAAAGCGAATACAAAAAGATGCAAAAAGAAAAAAAGCTTACAAACCAAATAAAAAATGACTCTTACACAAAAGAGGCAAAGGAAAAATTCTGCAATCACACAAAATGGAGATAATTGAATTCCAAATTAGCTCCAACCACACCTTATTCAACATTATACTAAAATACATGTAAAGAAAAAAATTCTTCCTTCTACATTTTTGTCTTTGCAGTATGTTTTGTGTTTGCTGGACATTTATAGCTCCCCTTGGCCACAGAGCTACAGGAAAGATGCTATTTATAATTCAGCAGGGGTTACCAGATTGACCTCAGCATTATTCTAAAGACGAAATGAATAATCTAGACCTAATGGATTTTTTTTTGTTGTTTTTGATTTTACCCATTTTGCAGCGTTTAAATATCATTGTCTCTAAGGTGTTCCAGCAGCAAATTGAAATATTTAGGCCACAAAAATCCACACAAATAAAAAAAGTCTGTACAGGGCAAATTAATTCATAAACACAAATGACTTACTCTTTGCAGGTTTTGCATCACATTTCCAATATTTTTAACTAGAACGCCACAATAACTTGTATGTTACTGGTAATTTGTTTCAGATTTATACATATCCTTTCACCCTTGGTCCTTTTTTGTCAGAGTTATAAAAAATAAATTAAATGAAAACATTAGTTAAAACCTAAATGTTACCATAACATTTAGAAAAAATTGTAATATATGATGACATGCACAAACTGAAATATAGCTACTGCTGCTAAACTTACTTTTATAATTGATAACTTTTAATAATTTATAGATGCAAGGATGTATGCCAGATTGTCACTCCAGAGTAACTCTGAACTTTAGAAGAAATTACAATATCTTTGAGCAGCTTTTAGTTAAAAGCAAGAATTCTCAGTCTATTTCTGACTGCTGGCAGGCCAGGTTATCTTTGTTTTACAAACATTGCATTATCATTAAATATCTAGACAACCTTTGAAGATATGTAATCGAAAGGCTGCACATTTTTCAGAAACCTCATTACCACTGGCATTAAGGAAGTGTTAAATGACCTTTTCTAATAGCTTTCTCCAACTTTCCTTGACCTTAGCTTTTGGTATTTCTGCAGATAATACTCAACATCTCTAATCAATTGTATGATATTCATTCTCTACAAATAAAAAAGAAATCTAACTACAGATACTTCTGTAGTTAGATTTGAAGGTTCATATATTTTAAAATAATTTCATAAACAAAGCTTTTACTATTTATGGTTCACACTGCCTAAAAATTGGTGCAAAGAAAGCCACGTCCAGCCTGCCTTTAGGATTGTAGTTTTACGATCTGAACTGAACAATTACCGTAATATTACTTAATAGAGTCTTATCAATAAAAGAGCCGTGCTAGATTAGATTACCTAGTCATTTGTCTTATTTAGACATAGTTATGTAAGGGATTTCTAAATATAACCAGCGCTCATTGCCTAAATGTTACCCTTAAGTGACTGTTGTTGTTCTTCAGTGTTTCGTCATTGTTCCCTGTCACAATTAAAGTTTTGCCTGTCACTGGAAAGAAATAACTCCTCTACAACTGCCCCCGCTTTTCATCAGGCCCGGAGAGAGCTACGTAAACTGAAGGAGGAGGCAAGGAATAAACATGCAGTGTCGGTCATTTGGGCCGGCTGGCAGGGCACCAAGGTATTTAGGAATGTTGACTTGCCGTGACTTTTTGACTTGTCGCCTCCATCAACCCCACTCCCGCCTCCTTATTTAAAGAAATAAAGTCCTTGACATAGCCGCTGGCCGAAGTCATTCTGAACATTTTTCAGTAGTGCGAGGCATTTTGCTTTACGTCCCATGGCTTGGTCGCTGCTGATGATATATGGCCATATCTGGAGGACTCCCTAACTGATTAGTTTGTTTTGGTAAATGCATAAAGTGCATACTGGATACATAGTGTTTGTTTCATCTTCCTTATAGGTCCATGCTTGGCAGCTGCATGCTGACTGCTCACTCTGCATGACTTGCTCTCCCTGTAGCTAATGCATGCTTAGTTTTTAGAGTCTTTTAGGTGGATTGCAACCAGTCTGGTTTGATTGTGCGGCATCAACACACTAGTTTGACTAACAGCATACACTCACAGACGATATTCCAGATGACCGTCCATCTGATACCCTTCATATATATGTGGATGCTGGAGCGCCACAGCAATAACTTTGCAGCCTGTCAAAGGTCAAATAGAGCTTGTGTGCAGCGTTTGTGCACACCTTCGAGGCTACTGACCCCAACCGGAACGGTTTTGACCAGTTCTTCATCTTCTCATCTTCCACTGCTCTTTCTTCCTGCCCACACTCAAACAGGCTCGCAGGGAGCTCAGGAGGCTGAAGGAGGAGGCCAGGCGCAAGCATGCCGTCGCTGTGATATGGGCCTACTGGCAGGGACTGAAGGTACCCACCAGCCCCACGGCAAAGCCATCATCACCCCCTGTGCCTTCTGCTCCCACTGTCCCTCAGCACCCCTTTTTATCAGTCTTTGTTTTAGTCCTCTGAAAGACGGCCTCTGCTCTCTGTTGCAACTATCCTTAATTTTCCTTTACAAAGACCAGAAAGCATGTACAACATTTATTGTTCCTCTTTTAAAACGTAACCTTTCATTTCAATAGCATAATCTCATCGGGAAAAATCGAGAGAGACATCAGCCACTGATATGACTAGAGTTATAAAATTGTTTTACTTTTTACCCTTTATACCATCCCATTTTGTCAATAGGACAGTACTCTATATTCTCCAACTTTACCAAATATTATAGGCAAGGACAGAGGAATCTTTCAGAATTCTATTTAGAAGTTGTCAAAGGTACTCATATTCTTTACTAAAGTTAAAGTAACTTTTTATTTAAAAAGAAGAAAAAACTGGTAAGACTTTAAATAAGGACAGGTAGAGAGAACCTAGAAATAGCTCGGCCCAGTACTGTGCTAAATTAAAATTACAGATGGCATAATATAGATTTAACTGAACAGAAGTCTTGCATAAACTGTTAAATACTTTGGTATTCACAGCATTAAGGTTGCAGATGATTTTAAAATTTGAATAGAATTTGTAACATAATCAACATATACATTTTAAATCTAATAAAGGGAGAATGGATGAAGAAATGTCATCGTTGAATTTGATCCCTCACCTGTAGCGTTTCCCAGCCTCCCTCTCTTAGCCAAGGTCTCCATTAGTGTTTCTCTTGAAACAAACTGTATTCAAACTGGATAGATTCCCTTTGCGCTTATAATTTTCCCTTTATTTTGTCACAGTTGTTTTGTAATGTCATAATGTATAGAAGCAAGTTTGGGGAAAGTAAAGCGAAACAACAGATGTTTGTGTTCTAATGTATTAAGTAAAGGTAGAAAGCCTTTAAAAATAAAGAATTGGTAAATTACAGATACTGTAAAAACCTAATGGACTACAATGATTATTTAATCTTAGTTTTTTTTACACCTCCGCATGTTTAGTCATTCTAGGGGTGCCTTACTTCAGCCCCCAATAGTTGGTGTATTGCGTGATTAATGGATGAATGACCACCTCAGGCCTGATGATGAACCTTTTTATTTCATTCAGGTGTGTAGGACCAGGGGAACATCTTAAACATGCAGGACATAGGCTCTTAATCACCAAAGTTGGACATGTATGCTATCTAAATTATCCAGCTTACCTTAACAATTATATATGTCCATGAATGAAAGGCCAATTTTCAGTGTAATGTGGCTGTTGGGTCTTTAGAAAAAAAAATAGTCCCACAATCTCCCAGATCCTCTGTAACAATGTGCATATAAGGGACTTTCTCAAGTTAAATATCTCCTTTAATTATGCTGCAACAACCTGATTCAAATATTAAGTAAAAAACATGAATCATCTGATAAAAGCACAATTTAATCTTGTAATTATCAAAGGCTTTTTCTTGGAATGGGTGCCATGTAGACTGTTTCTAACAGCTGTGGAAACTTGGCAGCAGGAAGCCATTCTTTGTTACAGTTCTCAGTGAGCGTTAGAGAACTGTTTTTTTTTTTGTTGTTGTTTATTTTTATTATAGTTATAAATCTTTGAGAAATTGCAATTTAACTACTTATTAACCAGTGGATAAAATTGACCTCTGTAAAAATTGTTTATCCCTGGAGTGCCTTCTACAAAGGCATTTTCGTGCAACTGAATAAAAGCTGGAGGACTCTTATAAAGTATCTTTAGTGCCAGGTTCCACACCCCTTCCCTGAAAGCATGAAGTCATGGATTATTTATTAGTAATTGGAAGCTTCTAGAAAAAGATCAAAGACATATTAAGCAATTTTTCAAATGTTGAAGTGATGCCACTTAATTGGGGACAATGGAAAAAAACGTTGATGCATTAAAGTTTGGATTTTTCTAGATTTATCAATGTGAGAATAAGCAGAAGTTATTACTCCATCATTTGTAAATGCATACAATCTAAAATAGTTTCAGTTTAAAAAAGAATGTTATGATCCCTCTTATCAACTATTTTGGCATTTATCGGTTACAGATTACAGGTGATTTACAGCAACCAGTGTAAAAGTTTACCTTTTCAAGTATTGAAGTTTAATACAGAGGATAAACAACAGGGTGCAGTAGTCTTTCTACCCATTTCATCTAACAGATTTTTCTATGTCCTGTTTGTTGCTGGCCCTCAAAGCAGCACAGTTTGTTGCTCCTACACTGTTGTCTTTTTTTTGTATCACTGTTCCTGTGTCTTTTGATGTTTTTTTTTTTTCTTTTATCATCTGGTGTGACTGTTTATTCCAACTTTTTCTGGAGTCTATTGATGTTATTTCCTATGTTAATCCTTTTTCATCCTGGTAATTGAGCACCGGTAGCCTGGATATCTACTGTCATGTTTCACCTTGTCGGATGAAACCCAACTTTAAGGTGGACCGTCACCCTTTTCATTTATTTTTTTTTAACAGTTTTTTCTCTGGGATTACTTCCAACAGCTTTTGTCTCTGTTTTGTAACTAACAAAATATTATTGTTTGTTTTTTGTTCTTCCATTGTCCTCCTTTTAGTGTGCTGCTTCCCTGTCCCACTGTATAACAAGCAGAGTGAGGCTGAAATTGATTTACAACACTTATTTTATTCTATGCTCCTAAAGGTCCGCAGAGAATACAGAAAGTTCTTCAGGGCAAATGCAGGAAGGAAGATCTATAACTTCACCATCCAGAGGATTGTAAGTATTGCTTACATGTTTCACCTCTGGTGTTTATTTCATGTTTTCATATTAACGTTATGATTGAAACTAAATGGTTTTCTGTTTATGTTGGTTTCTAGATGCAGAAATACTTCCTCGGGCTGAAGAGCAACCTGCCCTCCATGTCCCCAATAGACAAGAGCTGGCCTGCCAGGCCTTATTCGTTCCTGGAGGGAGTCCATGCTGAGCTTCGGAGGATTTTCCATCTCTGGAGGGTTCGTCTGTCATATTCAGCCATGTTTGGTTTAAACTGTCAGACAGAATGTTATCTCATTCTCAAAGGACAGACAAATGTGTGGCCAAATAAAGATGTCTGTCAACTCCTCACCTGCATTGCCTTCTGATGCTGGTCAGAGCATTATGTGGCGCCTGTTTCTCTTCGTTTCTCTCTCTCTGTGCCCCAGAGCAGCTTTGCATTAATGCATATTGCCATCGTCACTGTGTAAATGTGTGTGTGTGTGTGTGTATGACAGCATATAGTGTGAAGTGCTTCGGAGACCTCTCACTTGAAATGATGCTATATAGGTACTGTTTACCATAAAGTCAGCGTTTCTGAGATTGTCTGTAATGATCTGGTGTTGAAGGAATCATCAGAACTATGAAGAAGATGTAATCAAACACTAGTGTTTGTTGGCACTTATTCTTTATTTCGATTTGGGATGCAAACAGTGCAAGAAATACAGGAGCCAATTCACAGAAGAAAAAAAGGCAGTTTACGAAGAGAAGCTGGAGGCAAGCGAGCTCTTCAAAGATAAAAAGGCTCTCTACCCAAGCAGGTATCTTAAATGTATTACTCTGCAAAGCAATGTCTATGTCAGGCTTAATTTGATCACAGATCCAGACCTTCATACATATTATTCAAACATTTTTTGACTCTGTCTTTGTGTCTCAGCGTGAGTCAGACTTTCAAAGGAGACTACCTGGAGATGGTCAAGAATCCAAAATATCAGAAACTTAGCAGCGCCATAGATGAGAAGATTCTGCTGGCCGACGTGGTCAACAAGATAAACAGGGCCAACGGGAAGGTAGGAGTGTGATGGATCATCACCACGTCTTTTATTAATTCATATCTGAAGTACATTTCTATTCAGCATCCCAAATTTTATACCAGAAACACATTTTTCTGCAAGTAAAGCTCAGTCTTTTGGAACATGTCTTAAATGTTTTTTGCAAATTCAAAAGCTAAAATTTTGCCCATTACTGCAAACTAGTTTAAGCTTTGTCATGAAGAAGTTCATACAGATTCTAATATGAATCTTTGTCTGACAGGATCAATTTAAGATGTAAACATATTTCATCCAAAACATTTTGTTGTGGCCATGGATGTATATTCAACATAAGGATATAGTCTGCAAGACAGAAATTATTCTCTCCCTTCAAAAAGTTCTGGCATCTTGTTCTAGACTCTTTCAGAGCAGATTTTTTGCAAACGGAACTTCTCATAGCTATCCTTCAACAAGAAGTTTCTTGCTGCTTTAATGAAAGGTTTGTTGACTGTATGGCAATTGATTGTTCGGAGGGCTTGTTCATAAGACTTATACGCCCAATTCTGACTCGTCTTAGGTACACGTCAAGCAAGTTTTACCAGCTTTCACCAAAAGGGCGCCTGGCGTGCTTAATGTCACTTAATTTATTTATATTAATTTAATGGCAACTGCTAAACCCCTTTTTTTTTTTTTTATTGTTTTTGTTTGCTAGTAACAAGCATGTTGGAATGTTATCCTGAGGTTAAACGAAACACATGGACATAATTTACTAACCAGTTGACTTCTGAAGGGAATGTTGTGATGGATTTCAGAATAAAAAGGGATAAAAACAAATGTCAACAATAAGACTTCAAGTTTTTTATGGTAATACAATTACTAAAGAAATGCTGAGGATGGAGCAATTGAAATGGGAGATTGTAGAAAACATTCACTAAAATACAAAAGTCTAGAAATGTTCTCATCAGAACTTCTCTGGTTCCATTTTCTAAAATGTAGAATACAAAAATGCTGTAAAACTTTTGCATTTTCTACTTGATTAAATGTTGGCATACTCTTGTCTTATCAAATGGCTTAAATGTTTCTAACTGTACTTGCAGAGTTCACCTAGACTCTTTCTGCTAACCAAGAAGAGCGTTATTCTGGCTGACCAGAAAACGGGGCAGGTCAAGACTAGCCTTCCTCTGCCAGACCTCTCCAGTGTCTCGACCAGCACTCAGAGTGATGGCTTCTTTGCTCTCAAACTGAAGGAGGTGAGGAGGAAATGGTTTGAAGTGTACCTTTTTTTTTAATTCTGATTATTTTGTTTTGAAGAAATTCAGTAACTTGATTATAATGGGAAAACTTTTTTGTGAATTAACAAATGAGTTATTCCATCAGGGGTCAAGTTCTGCTGTCAAAGGGGACTTCTTGCTAAGCAGTGATCACCTGATTGAAATAGTCACCAAGCTGCATCGCATCAGCTCGTTGGCTGCAGACAGGGAGAAGCTTAATGTTGACATCTCAGACGAGTATGCTGAAACTTTTATATCACAGTCATGAATGCCTCTTAGTTCTTTATCATTAAACTTTCTGCT